AAAAATTTTTTTAAAAAAGAATTATGCAGGCAGAGCTCTAGATTGCCTCAAGTTGTAAGGCCCAACAAAGATCTTGAAAGACCTATCAGGAGGCCTGGAAGACATACCGTACTGAAGCAACCAAGGGAGTGTTGCAAGGAGAAGCTGCTGTTGTGAAGCTGCAAAGTTTTAGAACAGGGGTCAGCAACCTGTTTTCAGCTGTGGGTCGGTCCACCGTCCCTCAGACCATGTGGTGGGCTGGACTATATTTTGAAAAATAAATAAATGAATGAATTTCTATGCCCCACAAATAACCCAGAGATGCATTTTAAATAAAAGCACACATTCTACTCATGTAAAAACACGCTGACTCCCGGACTGTCCACAGGCTGGATTGGGAAGGCAATTGGGCCGCATCTAGCCCCCGGGCCTTAGGTTGCCCACCTCTGTTTTAGAAGATGTACAAGCAAGGAGCCCAAGTCAGCCAGGCCATAGGCAGTCTCACTCCTTGCTCTAGTGACATGGCGAGGATCTCTAGCATTCTATTGGCTGTACTGTCGAGTGCAGAGTCTCCGCTAATCCTGACCCAAGTGTGGGGCAGTAGCCAGCTGCAGCTGAAGAGAACTTGTAGCTGCAAGCAACAGCCCCTCTGCTAACACACTTCCACAGCAGTGCTTCAGGCAAGGACAGCAACACAAAGACCAGAAGCAAGTGAGCATACTAGGAGGCACGGCCAGTGTGGTATTTGTCTGCTACACTCATGTCAAAAGGTAAAGATAAAGGGACCCCTAACCATTAGGTCCAGTCGTGACCGACTCTGGGGTTGCGGCACTCATCTCGCTTTATTGGCCGAGGGAGCCGGCGTACAGCTTCCAGGTCATGTGGCCAGCATGACTAAGCTGCTTCTGGCAAACCAGAGCAGCGCACGGAAACGCTGTTTACCTTCCCGCCGGAGTGGTACCTATTTATCTACTTGCACTTTTATGTGGTTTTGAACTGCTAGGTTAGCAGGAGCAGGGACCGAGCAACGGGAGCTCACCCCATAGCAGGGATTCGAACTGCTGACCTTCTGATCAGCAAGTCCTAGGCTCAGTGGTTTAACCCACAGCGCCACCTGTCCCACAACCTGGATTCAGGATCTTTTCTAAATGAATGGTCTGTAGGTGTAGCCAAAGTCTGTTCTCCTCTCTCATCCGCACAGTTGTACCTTCCTGCCAGAGGATAAGCATTTGCAAGGGCTGGCAACATGTCAGACCTCTGATCTTTCATGTTTCAGAACACAACATTTTTCCTATTTCTGGAGAGGGAATTGGCTCTCACTTCATAAATCAACACCTCGCTGTCTTGTTAGTTCTGCAACCAGACAATTTGACTTGGAATACTGAGCCAAGGAAGGGGCTTCCTCTGTTTATCTTTATGGGCAAGATAACGACAAAACTGTGTTTTGTCTACAGCCTTTTAACCAAGCAGGAAGCTCTGTCCCACGTCTTGGATAAGTCACAACATTTCCCAGTTCTAAATGATAAAAGGACAGTTCTGATGCATCGTCCGCTGGGCATATCATTGTAAGAACTAGATCTTGTAAGAACCAGATTAAGATTGCAATCCTAAAGTGGGGAAAGTGAGGTGGTTGAACTGCTTATCTTATGCCCTCCTAGACTTGAGCCAGCAAGGTGAGGAGTGCTCTGTATGCCTCTGTCCATCCCTAGGCTCTTAGTTTCGTTTACCCAAAATATTTTACCTTAACCCTCCCCCTGGAAACAGTGGGAAAGAAATGGGAGCAAGAGATTGACTGACACTCAGGAGCAGGGATGGAAGGATCTGCCCATTTTGGTTCCCCCAGTTTCTCATTTTTCCAATCTTAAATTCAGTTATCCACATTTTTGCAGCCATTTGCAAATTTTGTTTTTTAAAAGATCCCCATGAAAAGTCTTCAGCACTTTAGTGTGACTTTCTCCTGACACGTTTTTGTATGCTGACCTGACTAGTATACACATTTTTTTGCAAGAAGAAGAAGAAGAAGAATTTGGATTTGATATCCCGCCTTTCACTCCCCTTCAGGAGTCTCAAAACGGCTAACATTCTCCTTTCCCTTCCTCCCCCACAACAAACACTCTGTTTGTTTCTCCTACTGCAACATATTTTTGTATGCCATAGCTGTCAACTTTCAGATTTGAAAATAAGGGATCAGCAGCCTCACCTGTCCCGGGGACAGTCAACGGCATATCTAACAATCCGGGATAGCAGCGGGAAGCAGCGGGAACCGGCGCTGGAATAAGGGAATTTCCCGCAAAAAAAGGGAAGGTTGACAGCTATGTTGTATGGTATTTTCAAAAATATATTCATTTTTATGCACACTTGCTCCTAATGCATACATTTTTGTAAACATTAGTTTGATAATTGCATATAGCTAATTTTGGGTAAGCGCATATTTTGAAGGATTTCTGTGTTTTGAAACATTTTGTTTCAGAAAATGTGGATTTGATCAATTCGGCTTTAGATGTGAACTGAATCCATTTTCTCCCCCATCACTGCTCAGGAGTGTGAATAAATATATCCCCGACTACCTCAGCGGATTGGGATAGATTGGATCTAAGCAGCTTCCTGGAATGCGCCTGACACAGCCCACTTTTGACCCTTCTGACGATGGAGGTCTGGCAATGGCAGATCCAGCAGTGGCAGAAAGGGAGGCTTTTTCAGAACTTCATCAGACCTCCTTCACCAATTTTGGACCTCTGTATTGGAAGGTTGATCCAATCTATCCTGTTGCTCCTGGGGTGCCCCCTTGCGGACCATAGAACAGCACCCATAATCTTTTATTGTGTAAGACTAAACAAAGCAAAGTCTAGTTAAGATTTTAAATAGATGGCACCCCTTTAGAAGCCCCCTTTCCCTATGCAAATTCCTTGCTTACACAGGATGTTTTGGCAATATACTCCATTCTCTGCGCTAACAGAGATGTCACAATAAAAAGCAGTACTTTAGATTGCGCAGACTAAAACCGTAGTGCCATTGTAAATTGGAGGAGGGTCCAATAGAATATTGAGAATGGAACATTTAGAATATTCCAGAACCGAGCCCTATATTTTCTGACCAACTTTATAGGTCTTAGATAGATAATAATAGCATTTATGCTGTTATGCTGCACAAGACATTCAAAATATTCCAGATGTTTTGTATTTGCATTCCTTAGAAATATATCCACAAAGTCTGTCAAACATATGCATTATCCAAAAAGCTCACAAGGGGGGAAATTCTCTTGAGAAATTTCCAAAACTATATGCTGACCTGGGCAAAAAATGGAGCCATGTTACCTTGTTTCTTTGTTAACCTCATGAATGTCTTGCCATGGCCCTCAACATTATTATAACCCAGATGACCTCATTCCACACAAAATAAGCCATAAAGATATACTGTGAGACATTCCAGGATATATTTACTGGAACTAGAAGACAAAGACATATTTAGGAAGTTGGAACTAAATGTGATAATGTGTGTAGTAGGAAAATGTGTCCATTTTCACCAAGGCTGCACAAAGAACTTATTCATTTCAGGTACAGAATGGAGTACAGCTACTTGTCTTGAACACAGCTTGTTGCCCCAGGATCTTTAGACATTCTTGATGCGCACAAATGTATATATTTGTAAAGAGATTTTTCCTTACAATAAGGTCCACCTCCAATGTGTATAGTGCTCAAGAGACAAGTATTGATTTAGAGTTGCCCCACATAGATTCAGCATTTATTTGGGAATCTGGTATAAGCATGAATTTCAGGAGGACAGAATGAGTTTATTCAGCTTTATTCAGTGCCCAAACTCTAGGACTACAAGAGGCTATGTGAGCAAGTCTGAAATGGAAGGTGAGAGCGTAAAGGGCAGCAGCAGAGTGATTTGAAATCAGGTGAATGGCAGTCCTTAAGGGTCTTATTTCTTCTCACTTCCTTTCATCCTTACATGGCTTTATACACTTCGGGAAATGTATCAGATTAAACATAAGCTGCAAATACAGTGGTACCTCAGGTTAAGTACTTAATTCGTTCCGGAGGTCCGTTCTTAACCTGAAGCTGTTCTTAACCTGAAGCACCACTTTAGCTAATGGGGCCTCCTGCTGCCGCTGCGCCACCGGAGCACGATTTCTGTTCTCATCCTGAAGCAAAGTTCTTAACCTGAAGCATTATTTCTGGGTTAGCGGAGTCTGTAACCTGAAGCGTATGTAACCTGAGGTACCACTGTACCTACATGGTCATTTACTTCCTTTTTCAGTGCCTATTTCCCATCTATCAGGTTAGAAATCCTTCCAAGGAGATAATCAGCTGCATTAAATAAAATAAATGAACAAAATTAGCATATGAAAAGTGACCAGTCCCCTTCGCATGGGGCAGTGGGTGGTGGGTGGCGCTGGGAGGGTGTCGACCAGCTAGAAATGGCTTTGCCCTGCTCCCTCCCACAGGACAGCTGGGAGTAGATAGCCCAGAAAGATGGATATGGGAAATGTTAAGTTGTGGGTGGACATAGCAGACGACGCAGCGATTTCTCCAAAGCAGCTCTTTATTTCTAAGCTGGAACAGAACTGAACAGTAAACAGCTCAGCCAGCCTGCTTTTATAGGCAGCCGGCTGTCAACATTGTAGCAACAACAACCCAGGGTTTCCTGCCTAAATTAACTGACGTGGACCTGAGTGAAAACTATATACACGATACTGCTTTTGGCCAGGGTGAGAACTTCAATACATAACACCCCTTCCCACCAAGATAAGGCATTAGTTACAACCATAGTGGTTCCATTACATACAGCAATACCCTTATTGGTTTCAGTAAGGCACATAAGCATATTAATTGACCCTATTCACTATACAGCTTTACATGTGCAGTTTGTCCAGTGAATATAGTCTTTTAAATACGCTGGGCGCTTGGAAACCCTGCTGGATCACCGAGGGCCAGTACCAGAGTCTGGGTGGCCTTGCGGATTTCCTGGGCGGAGAGTTCAGCAGCTTCTGAGGCCACGGCCTCCTCAATGGCTTTCTACAGCGTGAGGTCTGGCTTGGCGAGGAGACGCCGTTGCAGACGGCTGTCCTGGACCCCGCAGATGATTCGATCCATCAGGGCACCGTCTAAGTCTTGGAACTCGCAGTGCATTGCAGCCTGTCGGAGGGCGGTGGTGTGGTTGTTGATTGACCCCCCCTCTGCCTGGTTCCGGTGGTAGAAGGCATGGTGGGCAGCAATCTTGGACGGCTTTGGCGCGTAGTGGTTGCGGAGCTTCTCTTGAATCATGTCCCTCTTGGAGGTAGCAGTCGAACCGAGCAAGGTAGGAGTCCCATGATTCAGAGGCTGGCGCAAACGGCGGTAGAGGCACAAGTGAAGCCATGATTCCGATGCCGACATGGAGGGCGATGGATGGAACACAGTGCTCTAGCCAGAACGGTCAGCTCTGAATTGGTTCTGCTCCGTGATTTCGCTCAGTGTTTCAGCTCCGTGATTCAGCTCATCTCAGAGGGTGGCTGTATCAGGCTCTGCTCTGATGTCCATCGATCCCACCTTCATTGGTTGTGGGGGAACGTAGCAGACGACGCAGCGATTTCTCCAAAGCAGCTCTTTATTTGCAAGCTGGAACAGAACTGAACAGCAAACAGATCAGCCAGCCTGCTTTTATAGGCAGCCGGCTGTCAACATTGTAGCAACAACAACCCAGGGTTTCTCGCCTAAAGTTACTGACGTGGACCTGAGTGAAAACTATCTACACGATACTCCTGGTGGCCAGGGTGAGAACTTCAATACATAACAGGAAAGTTCCAGGTTTGGTCTGTTTGGTTGACCTTTAGATATACACAGACCCTCCAACATTTCTCAGATGAAAATAGGGACTTCCTAGTCTACATCAGGAAGCTTCTCCCACATTTGATCTCACCACACTCATAGATGTCATATGCATCTGTTGAGCCAATTACAACTTCTCTGCTGAACCTACCTCTCAGGATTGTTGTAAAGAAAAAATGTGTGAGGGAAGGGATCATGCGTGAAGGAAATAGATGTGAAGGAAATAAGCAGCTATCTTATATTTAAAAGACATCTGAAGGCAGCCCTGTTTAGGGAAGTTTTTAATATTTAATGCTGTATTGTTTTTAACACTCGATTGGGAGCCACCCAGAATTGCTGGGGAAACTCAGCCAGATGGGCGGGGTATAAATAATAAATAATAAATTATTATTATTATTATTATTATTATTATTATTATTATTGTCATCATCATCATCATCATCATCATCATGTACAACACCTTCCACAGATTAATGGAATGCAATAAGTTTTTAGTGGGAAGCTGCCTTGAGTCCCTGGCATGGAAAAAGGTGGGATATGATGATGACGATGATGATGAAGATGATGGTGATGAAGATGATGATGATGATGATGATAGGAACTGTGAGGATGATCAGGAACATACCAGAGAGAAAATCCTATTGAATAGAGTGGGACTTACTTCTGAGTAGACAGTGTAAGGCTCCATTTGCAATAAAGGAATCCACACTCCACACATTTCCTAAGAAATGGCTGGCTGTGGAAGCATTGCAATGAAAGAATTTAAAGCGGATTAGTGACCTTTTCCTTCAAAATTGTAGGAAGGGCTTCATAGGCCACCTTCATCATTTCCTTCATTTGGTGCAGAAATATTGTCCTCGGGATAAGCAGGACTCTGTTTTTGCACCTACACACTGCTTTTAATTGTTGTCTGAGACATGGAGGGGAGGAAAAAGGAAAAGAGGGGCGTTCCAGGATCAAATCAGAACCTGGGATGGCTTCTGTAATTCTGGCACTGTCCCCGGAACATCGGGACTCTTGGGGGGGGATGTGTACAGAAGTTCCACAAATGGCAATCTCTCTTTAACTTCCACGTGGTTTCCAAAAACATGTTTACCCATATAAATTTCCCTGTGGCTAGAAAGGAGCACATAGTGTGGAGACATAGAATTCCCTCTCCTCTGAGAACTGACAGGGGCCCACCATTGTTTTATCTTTTGGAAATTATTAAAAAAATATATTTACCAAGGCCTTGGTGGGGGAATAATCTGATGTGTTACTCTAAAATGGCTATTTGGCTTGCTGTAGTATTGTTGTTGTACTATATGTTTATTACTTTTGTTTAACTGGTTAAGTGGTTTTTTTAAATGGAGATTTAAAAAAGTGTAACTCACCGGGGGAACAAGAACTGATGAGGAGTAAAATAAAAATTGCTGTTATGTCTAGATATATAATATGCAAGCAGAACTTGGTCTTAAGCCCTGCAAAATAGAGACAAATTGGGGGGGGAGGGTGTTCTTTGCATGCTAATAACAAATTTGTAACAGATTGTCCATAACAAATACATAAATCAGTTACTGTTCTGAGTCATTTAAGCAGCATGTTTTAACAGGACAGTCACCATTTAATAGAACACTGTTTAAACAAGATGGTCCTTTGATTCATCACGTGCGTAGAACCAGACCTGAATGAAAAGGAAACACATGTAACAAAACACATCTGTCTAAATCAACATCTGGATGCAAACGTTATGCCATCTTAGTGTAATGGAATCTTTACAGAGTATAAGGGGGGCGGGTTTGAAACATGGTTTCATTACACCAAGATTACACAAAGTTTGAATGCAGATTAATGTTGTGCCAAACTCTGCAGTTTCTCAAACATTTTCTTCCCCCGTCAAAGAGGCTTCCATTTTTCTGCCTCATTGTCAGGACACTTAAGAATCTGGGTGGGTGCTGCATATTCAGCTTGCCTTATCATTGCAAGGTGGTAGACGGTAGGGTTGCTTTTTTCTGTTTCTGCACATTCTGTAGAAGGAAGTGAGGGGCAGGTGAGGCTCGTCCGCCCGGGAAGGGAGTCCATCGAAGAGAAGGAGAACTCTGACCTTAACCTCTGCTGCCTAGTGGGACATCTTCAGGAGAAGAAATGGCTACGGAGTAAACCCTACACAAATCCAGAACAGAGTCCCTATGGCGCTTAGATGGCGCCTCATACGCCTCCTTCCAGCAATTCCTGCAGCCTAGCTGGTGCCCAACGTCTTGCTCAGCTTCCCTTTGGACCCCATCGGGGGGGGGGGGCTTGTCATCTGGGCAGCCCAGGACCTCTCCCACACACACTATTCAGGCTTGCGCCCCACGGACGTCACTTTGGTGCTGCTGACACAATGGTTTGACTTCACCCCCGGAATATATAATACTTCAGATACAATAGTTACCAATTCAGCAGCAGCACTGAAAAGAAGAAAACAGCTAACAAAGGCATATCTAAGCAAAAGTAGAAAATTATTCCATCTCTTACTGCAAAGTACAGAAAATACTAGATTACCGTATTTTTCGCTCTATAAGACACACCAGACCACAAGATGCACCTAGTTTTTGGAGGAGGAAAGCAAGAAAAAAAATATTCTGAATCTCAGAAGCCAGAACAGCAAGAGGGATCGCTGCACAGTGAAAGCAGCAATCCCTCTTGCTGTTCTGGCTTCTGGGATAGCTGCGCAGCCTGCATTCGCTCCATAAGACGCACACACACTCCCCCTTACTTTTTAGGAGGGAAAAAGTGAGTCTCATAGAGCAAAAAATACGGTACATAGTAGATTCCATAGGTTACAACTCCCCAGGAATATCATCAACCCCCTTCAAGGATGTGGTGGAGAGAGAAAGAGGGAATTCTAAAATTTTTGTTCCAGATCATCCCATATTTTTCTGGGAGATACGCTGCAGTGCTGCATGTATAAATATATGCAATAAAAGCTTGTCATGTTTCTCAAAGGGACTCCAGTGTCATTTCCCCCTTACACTAACTGTACCTGGTTAGGCTACTGCCAAACACCAGAGTATTCTGCACCAGTTATCCACGTTTACATTTCACATAATCATAGAATTGTATCTACTGTAGTCCAGCCCCCTGCAGTGCAGGGATCTCAGCTAAAGCATCCCTGACAGATGGGCATCCAACCTCTGCTTAAAAACCTCCAAGGGAGGAGAGTCCACAACTTCCTGAGGGAGATTGCTCTACTGTCAGAACAGCTCTCACTGTCAGAAAGTTCTTTCTTAAAGTTATTCCAGAGGTGACAAGAAGTTTCCTTTTGTTTACATCTTCTCTAGCATTCTTGACTGACTAATTGTATATGCAAGTTTAATTGGTGTGTAGAGGGACACGGGTGGGGCTGTGGGTTAAACCACACAGCCTAGGACTTGCTGATCAGAAGGTCAGCTGTTTGAATCCCCGTGACGGGGTGAGCTCCCATTGCTTGGTCCCTGCTCCTGCCAACCTAGCAGTTCAAAAGCATGTCAAAGTGCAAGTAGATAAATAGGTACTGCTCCAGCGGGAAGCTAAACGGCGTTTCCGTGCGCTGCTCTGGTTCGCCAGAAGTGGCTTAGTCATGCTGGCCACAGGACCCGGAAGCTGTATGCCAGCTCCCTTGGCCATTAAAGCGAGATGAGTGCCACAACCCCAGAATCGGTCATGACTGGACCTAATGGTCAGGGGTCCTTTACCTTACCAATTCTCTTGCATATTCAGAACTGGATTTAAAGGGCTTGTGCTGCCATATAACCACAGAAAGAGCAGGAGCCTCAGCAAAGGATAATGTGGGGGGGGGGGCCTGTAAGATCACAACATGAACTTAGCAAAAGAATAAGGATGTTACAAGTGTGTCCCCATTTTTAATGGTGAAATATTGGAGGGAACATACTGAAACCAATGGGACATATTTAAGCATACACATAAATCATACAGCCTGTAGTAGACAATATGTAAACAGGCTATTATGGGACCATGGTAGGGATCAGGAACGTACAATGGTTTGGGTGCATGTTATCATTTAAGAGCAAACTAGCAGAACCAAAACCACTTCAGCATCCTGTTTATGCATTGCCTCATTCACACTTGTTTAAGTTTGCATTACATCCGAGTACATACACAAAGTTTCCACTTTCCCTGATGCCTAATAATATCTGGTTTGTTTGCAACATTAACTTCCTCTCATGACCTCCCAGCATTTCCTCCTTCTAATGAACAGACTTTTCTTAAGTAACAATGAATTTCAGTTGAAAGAAAGGAGATTCCAACTCAACCCTGATGTTGAGCCATTCGACAGTGGAATCAACTCCCTCGAGGTGGTGGACACACCTTCCCTGGAGGTTTTTAAGCAGCGGTTGGATGGCCACCTGTCCTGTATGATCTAGTTGAGATTCCTGCAATGCAGGGGGTTGGACTAGATGGCCCTCAGGAATCTGATTCTGTTCTCTGATTCTGTAATTCTATATCAAGGGATAGTTCTGCCTACCCAGGGAGCTGCTTAAATGCTTCAAGTTAAAACAGGGTGGGGTGGGGTGGGGTGGGTAGGAGAATATGTTCAAGATGAACTC